ACTAAAACAGATAAATTCATAATCATCTTTGGAAATTTTAACATCCCTCTCACTCAATGACTGGAGAGTAAACAAATTGGAAAAGACAGAGGCCATCAGAACACCATCAGCTAACTAGATATACTTGACATTTATAGACTACACCCAATGACTGAGAATACTCATTCTTCCCAAGTCCATCAGATCATTCATCATCATATGCTAGGTCATAAAACAAGTCTCAATAAATTTCAAGGGATTAAAATCTTACAGATTATTTTATCACAATGGAATTAAATTAGATATCAATAATAGGCACAACCTGGGTGGCTCAGTCGGTTAAGCTTCCAACTTTGGCTCAGGTCATGATCTCACAGCTTATGAGTTTGAGCCCCATGTCGGACTCTCTGCTGTCAGCACAAAGCCCACTTCAGATACTCTGTCCCCCTCTCTCTCTGCCCCTCCCCCGTCTCTCTCTCTCTCTCTCTCTCTCTCTCTCTCTCTCTCAAAAATAAACATAAAAAAAATCAATACTAATGAGATATCTAGAAAACCCCCTAATATCTGGAAATTAATCAACACACTACTAAAAAAAGTCCACCGTCAAAGAAATCACAAGAGAAATTAAAAATTATTTTGAATTACATGATAATGAAAACACTTATTAAAATATGTGACATATAGTTGGAGGGAAATCTGCAACTCTGTACTTATATTTAAAAAGGAGAATGGTTTGCAGAATGCCTGGGTGGCTCAGTTGGTTAAGCAGCCAACTTCAGATCAGGTCATGATCTTGCAGTTCACACAAGTTCAAACCTGGCATAGGGCTCTGTGCCGACGACTTAGATTCCGTGTCTCCCTCTCTCTCTGCCCCTCCACCACTTGCGTGCTCTCTCTCTCTCAAATGTAATAAAAAACATTTAAAAAAAAAGGTTTAAAATCGTTGTCATCTTAAGAAGATGAAAAAAGAATAAAAGACAAAATAAACAGAAATAAATAATAAAGAGTGGAAATCAATGAAATAGACAACAAAGAAAAACCCAAAGTTCTCTGAAAAGATAGATTAAGGGAAAAATTAAGAGAAATACAATCAACATCAGGAACAAAAGAGGTAATATCACAACAGATGTTAAAAAGACACTAAAGCATTATTATGAACAAGTTTTTGCTAAAAGATTTGACAAGTTAGATAAAATGAACAAAATCCTTTTAAAACATATATTACTCAAACTCACACAAAACAAGTAAAAAACCTGAATAGCCCAATTTATCACTATCTGTTTAAAAAATCAAGTTTATAATTTGAAACTTTCCACTAAGGAAATTCCAGACAGAGATGGTTTTACTGGTGAATTATATCAAATATTTAAGGAAGGAATAATGTTAATTTTTTACTTCACTCTTTCAGAAAATGAAGAAAAAGGGAACACTTCCCAAATTATTTTAAATGACCAGTAAAACCCCATTGCCAGAAACCTGACAAAGATACTTACTACAAGAAAATTATAGACCAGTGTTTCTCAACAAAATAGTATCAAATAGAATCCCACAATATACAGAAAAGATAATACATCATGACCCTGAGGGCTTATCTCAGGAATGCAAGGATGTATCATTCAAAGCAAATCACTGTAATTCTCCCACTAACAGCATAAAGAAGAAAACCCATATACATTCACCTCAGATGCAGAAAAAGCTTGTAACAAAATTCAAGATTCATTCATGATAAAAAAAAAAACCTCTTACACTAGAAACAGAATGGATCTTCCTCAGTCTTACAGCTAGCATCATACTTAACATATTGAACGTTTCCTCTATAGGAAAAAGAACAAGCCAAGGAGGTCTCCTTTCATAACACTTCTTTTCAAAATTGCAATACAACACTAAAATGGAAGACCTAGCAAGTGCATTAAGGAAAAAACAGAAATAAAAAGAAAAAAAAATAGAAATAAAGGGAAGTAGTCCCTGGTCACAAACAATGGGGCTGTAAATGTGGGAAATTCTAAGAAATTTAAAAAAAAAAGCTTCTGGAGATATGAAATCAATTTAACAAGGTTGCAGGATGGCAAGATACAATATTAATATCAAAAAATAATTTGTGTTCCTATCTACTAACCAACAATTGGAGAATAACATTTTTTAAAGGACAGTTCAGTACCATTAAAAATATTAAACACTTAGGGTTAAAAGTAACAAAATAAATGCAATAACTCTGTCCTGAAATCCAAGAAACACTGCTGAAAGTTGTTAAGAGACTTAAATAAATGGATGGTTAAGAATTTTCTCCAAACTGACCTGTAGATTCAGCGTAAGTCTAAAGTCTGTTTTTTACTTTTTGGTAGAAGCTAACAAGCTGATTCAAAAATTCACACAGAACTGAAAAGACCTAAAATAGCTAAAGCAATCTTGAAAAAAAAATTAGAGAATTTACACTGCCTGATTACTATAAAGCTACAGTAACCAAGACAACTTGGTGGCTTAGGGATAGACAACTAGATCAATGGCCCACATATAAGCAGTCAATTGATTTTCAACCAAGGCCCCAAGGCATTTCAATAAAGATAGTCTTTTTTGTAACAAATGGTACTGGAATAGTGCATAAACAACTGGAAAAAACTTCTCAATATCTACCTCTACCTCACACATACTGGACAATTAATTCTAGATGGATGACAGACCTAAATACAAAAACAAAATCTATAAACCTGCTAGAAAAAGATATGAGAACACCTTTGCAACTTTAGGGCAGGCCCATATTCCTTAAGATATAAAAAAGCCTTAACTATAAATGAAAACAAAATGATACATTGGTCTTCACTGAAATTTAGAAAGTCTGCTTATCAAAAGACAATGTTAAGAACATGATAAAGCAAACCACAGCCAGGAAGAAAATATACACCATACACATATCTGAAAAAGAACTTATATCCAGACTACATAAAGAATGCTACATGTAAATAATAAAAAGGAAACAATCCTTAATTAATCCTTAATTTTAATCCAATTAAAATGGGCAAAAACTTCAACACTAAAAGTGAAGATATATGAACAACCAAAAAGCACAGGAAAATGTGGTTAACATCATTAGTCATCAGGCAAATGTTAATCGAAACCATCATGGAATACCTCTTCAGGCCAAGTAGACTACCTAAGACAAAACTAAGTATCTGCAAGAATGGGGCAGAATTAGAACTCTCATTCATTGCTAGTGGGGGTGTAAAATGATACAGCCTCCTTGGAAATCACGGTGGTAGTTACTATTACATATAATATGGTTAGAAATATCCCTTAATCCAGCAATTCCACTCAGGTATTTATCCCAGGGCATAAAATAACATACTCCAGGGATACACTTGTATGAATATCTATAGCAACTTTTAACATAATAGCAAAAACTGGAAACCATCCATATGTCCATCAAGAGAAGAATGGATAAAAAAATTGTGGTATAATCGTACAATGGACTATTACTCAACAATTTTACATATTGCCTCAAGTAATGTTTTTTGACCTCCTTAAATTTTATATATAAAATTTTTCCTAATTTTATTTTACTTTTCCCTTTTTAATAAATGAAATTTAGTACTGGCATTTAATTGAATTTAGAATGTTTTAGAAATTATTAGAAAAATTAAACATGTTTTTTAAGATTTAACAAGTCACCAAACATTGTGTATAGAAAGTCCCTCATAGAAGAAGATTCCACATGGAAAGGTAAAAGCGTGATTACAAAAGATTTACCCGTGAGTATGTTGCATCCTGATCTTGGGGATTCTGTGCCTTTGGGTTAAACTGTCAACAATGAGGTCTTGATTCTTCCAGTTCTAAACCTCTATTTTATAATGGAGCTGGGGGAAGGTGGTATCCAAGACAAAGGAAGCTTTTTATTAACTTCTGCTTTAAATTGAATATTTTAATTAGGTTCCACAACAAAAACATTATGGAGCAATGAATAAATCTGTAAGGGAGTGGTACACTGCATAGTGACAACTTGCAAATTTTTTATTACAAAAGAAGCAGACATCACTCAATATGATGTACTACCGATAAAAGCAAACTCTAGGATACCTTCCAATTAAAAAGTAAGCATCTAAGACTAAAAAGCATCCCTTAGAGTCACACAGGGTTCTGAGGTCTATCATCTAGAATCCTCTCCTGGCCTCTGTTAACTTGAGCTGCACCCTTCTGCCTGACTCCCTGGAAGCCCCTCACCTACCTACAGCTTGTCTCTGCATCCACTCCCTGGCATCCTTCCACCATTCTGAGACACTAATCCCTTCCTCCACAAATAAGCAACACCAGACAACTAACCACCTAAGATCACAAAGGGATGGGTAGTTAGTCCCAGCTCACTTTCAAAAGGTAAGCTTTGAGAAGGGGTGTGGGGATGGAGATATCTAAATCTGGATGATGCACACATTTAAAAAAAAACATAAAAATTTTATCAGCTCAAAAGAAAATTAATCTGGGGGACTGGCAATCTCATCATTACGGGTAATTGTGCTCACACATGGCATTGCCTAGCAACAGAAGGAGCAGGCAAATCCCAACATTGGGGTGTAATGAATCACTCACTGACTACTGCTCACAAATGGTAATTTAATAGGAAGATATTCACATCTGGTTCAATCTCAAACAAGACTTCAGAGAATTCTGCAGACTCCAATTGAGAGAAACAGCAGGTACTTCACCAAGAGCCAGGCTCCAGAACAAAGACTACGCCTACTTACTCGGTTGAATGTATGCTTTGTTTAAAAACAAAACAAAACAAAATAAAACATAGTTTTGATAGCCTCGTTTCTGACATTTTGTTTTGGCACTTCTCCAACTTCTATGGCTTCAGATATAGTTAATGAGTGCCACAAACATAAGAAGGTAAATATGACAAACAAACAATGGGACAATCATGGTTGAACTACAATCACTTTAGACCTCAAAGAGACAGCCCAATCTGCCCAAGAATCTGCATGCTACTTCAAGCTCAGTGTTTTTGAAGAAAGCTACAAAAAGAATCCACGTACGAGCGAGATCTATGTCTGGATCGTCTGTTGTTGGGGTCCGCCTGATTTTTTTCCTTTTGTCTCCTTAATACAGCTTCCCACTGAGGCGCAGAATCAACCATATCATTCTCCTGACGTATTCTGAAAAGAAAGACCATTCATCTCAAGTTAATATTCACACATGTGGTGCTCTAGTTTTTGGTTCATCCTAAACTTGGTTTTAAAAGTTAAGAAGTTATCAAATAAGTTATTGAAAACTTATAAAGAAATGAAAAGTTATTCAAGGAACAGTTTTATTAAAATCACTTAAAGCTAAGATGTATTAACTGGATTAATATATCCATAAGTAGATAAGTGTATACACACACATAAAAGTCTATTAGAATATTTATACATAAATATGGAAGTATATATTAGTTTCAAACTTCTATCTTTGGCTTAAAAGCTTCTAAGAAATAGGCATGTCAAACAAAAACCTCATTTAAAACATATTTAAGGTTTGACTAAAGAAACAGTTAGTGTCTGCTATAGAGCCATTCTAAAATCATGAAACAAAATATTTTTTAAATGTACTAACCAAAATAGCAATAAATAATTTTACTTTGAAGTACTCTTAAAATTTCACACTAATTGTCAAATTTTTCATGAACGAAAGGTGCCAGATACAATTCCCATTTTTAAGATAGAAAACCAGAAGTACAAGAAGCCACAAGTGGTGGCACCGTGTGTTAGCCGCTGAGCAGGTACATGCCATTCTGATGAGGGCAGCCTCACCTAGCCAAGAGGCAGGCAAGGTTCAACACTCCTGCAGACAGGGGCCAGGCAGGGAATGTAAACAAGGGAAAGGAAAACCCAGGGTGGCAGCTACTGGGGGATACAGGCAGCTGCCATGTGAGATTGGACAGTGTTTCCAAATCCTCTGATTTTTTTTTTAAGGATAATCCACAAATTTGGGCTTTTAAAGTGAACTCTTCCAATTTTCAAGTGCTGACAACCAATTCTGAATGTTCAAATCCTGTTTGAACCTAACAATGCCTATCCATGCACCACACTGCAGAAGTTTTGGATTTTTGGTGTATCAAGTCTTTCTTGCTTCTTCTTCTTTTTTTTGAATAGTTTGTTTAATGTTTATTTATTTTTGAGAGAGAGAGACAGAGTGTGAGCGGGTGGGGGCAGAGAGAGAGACACAGAATCTGAAGCAGGCTCCAGGCTCCAAGTGGTCAGCACAGCGCCGACATGGGACTCAAACTCACGAACTGTGAGATCATGACCTGAGTGAAGTCAGACACTTAACCAACTGAGCCACCCAGGTGCTCCTGTATCAAGTCTTTCTAATAACAGAGGTAAGGTGTTGCAGGGGACAGGTTGGGAAGAAGTATTAGTTAAAGCAATCCTGTCTGAAATGCACTGCAATGATTCTATGAAGCCATGGGTATTCTCTACAAAAATCAAACACCTGTTATTTGAATATTTAACTTAAAGTTTTTGTTAGTTCTTCAGGAAGTTGCTCTGGAGTATTCATTTCACACGCTGATGCTCCCAGGGTGTGGGACAGCAGCATGGAACTGTAAGGTCATCATCACAAAACTGTGACTATATGAGAATAACTGCTTCAAAAAAAAAAAAATGAGAAGAACAGACAGACAAGTCTGGAGACATTTTCTCTCTCTTAACAGATGCCTTTTGGTCGCCCTGTGAACAGCACCTAGTACAGACCATGGGGTGGATATCTAGATTTGCTTATAAATGCAAATCAGTAGATGGGTGACAAATAATTCATTTCACAAATAAGTTAAAGACAATGATAAGCAAATTCAAGTTAAAAACTATAGTAGCTTATGAAGAAGAAACTATTTAAATCTCTCTAGATTAAAGAGAAATTGTGTTAGGTAAAAAATTATCTGTAACACACTTCAAGCCTTTGAACTGTGTTTCCTCACTAAAGCTTTCATTTCTAATAGGCTGTTATATGAAAATTAACAGGATACAGTGATGCCATGTTTCAGATTCAGAAACATAGTTCTCTCTCTCACAGCATGTACAGAGGAAATTAAAATTGAATATACATTGCTATAGACTTTAATATTAGAAATTTCTAGGGGTACCTGGGTGGCTCAGTCAGTTAAGCATCTGACTCTTGATTTCAATGATCTTATAGGTCGTGAGTTCGAGCCCTGTGTTGGGCTCAGCACTAAAAGTGTGGAGCTTGCTTGGGATCCTCTCTCCCTCCCCTCTGCCCCTCCCCCACTCTTTCTTTCACTAAAATAAACATTTAAAAAAATTAGATCCAAAGAAAAATATGAGAATGTATACTACTTGAGATTATAATTATTATTCTTTGAAACAAACATTCCCACTTGAAAATGTCACATGCATATACATACACACACACACACACACACACACACACACACGTATATGTATTTTCATAGCCAGAACCTACAATCTCTGAACCACTCCATGTTATCATGTGACAGTCCAGTGGGGGAACAATTCTTGGACACTCCCAGGACATGAGGGACCCAGAGTTAGGAAGAGACACTCAATGGGAATATGTCAGGCTGGCAGGAGTTACTTCCCCTCCCACAGGAACCCACACCTCAACTTCCCAGAAAAACACATAAAACCCAGGTCTCCTAACTCCTCACCCTGGAGTCTTTTAGACCATAGCTTCCATTCTAAGCCAATTTGCTGCACAGTTCATGGGCAAGACTAAATTTCACAATGTTAAATTTTTTTCACCAGGATGTCAGCATCTTTTAATATTTTTCAGAGGTCAAGCCTACCAGCATGGCAAATATACTTCACCCAGAGGATAGACATTTAAAAGGAAGCACAATTACTATACTCTCATTCTCTTCCAGTGTGGACTTTAGCTCATTACCTTCATACTGAGACTTTACCCTGATAATTAAAAAGTAAAAATAAAAATAAGACAAAGACATGACCACACATAGTTCCAATACCTTGCTAGTAATGAAAACTAAATCGGAAAGAATTTCAGACTATGGCATGTACCTATAACTTCTGTTTTTCTAACAGAAGACTCTAAAGTGAGGGCAGTGAAACCCTGTCAGGTAACATCCATCCACATGTTTCAGAGACAGATGCCCTCTACTGGTGATACTATCTCATAAATATTCTAACAAGGTGCATTAAAAATGTAAGGCTCATTGGAGAGTCACAACAGAAGCACATTTTCCCAAGTAATGAGGTTGTGTGGCTACCTAAATCTGTAATGAAGTTTGAAATTACACCCTTACAAATGGTTGCTGGTTAATGGTGCCTCATTACAAGAATGAAAGTGTCATTTCTTCCATCCCTGAAGTGCTCCAGAAAACACAGGTACAGTGTGGAAAGGAAAAATCCTAGCTCTTGGAAGAATATTATAATGCTCAATCCTTAAAAGGCAGGAGTGAACTATTTTGTGCATGAAAGAATAAAGAAATAGACATTTGGGTGAAAGGCATCCCCTATGATTCTGCTTTGTCTCATTTATCCCTAGGTATGGGATATACCAGTGTTGCTTTTTTTGCTCTTCTGCTATATTTTAATTTTGATGTAGAGATTCATATTTTGAAGAATAAAAACACTGCAAGCATTGTTATCGACATAATACCTTTTAAAAAGTCAAAATGTACTCTTACAGGACAGATAGTCATGAAAGTCTCAAGGGGGAAAAAGGAGTCCACTGTGGGTTATACTAGGGATGTATTCATTTTCAGATGTTGCATTTAAAAGTGACCCTCAGGGGCGCCTAGGCGGATCAGTGGGCATCCAACTTTGGCTCAGGTCATGATCTCACTGTTCCCGGTTTCCAAGTTCGAGGCCCGCATCAGAGCCTGGAGCCTATTTCAGATTCTGTGTCTCCCTCTCTGTCTCTGTCCCCCTCCTCCCCGCTAGTGCTCTGTCTCTGTCAAAAATAAACATTAAACAAATTAAAATAAAATAAAATAGAAGTGAACCTCAAAAATATTAATTGTTTCTTTCATGTACTCTCCAAGGTAATAACAACATTCGTCATATTTTGTCTATCTCCTCATCCACAAGTAAGGAGAGTTAACAGCTGGGTTAAGAAGACTTATCATAACAAGGCTTTCATTTCTTAATCAATTTTTAAGGGAGACCATTGCTTTAGAATAAGGTATATCCCAACAATGTTTCAGAATAAGAGAATTCTAATATATTTCCTACATGTCTCGCCAAACTTCAACATCCTACTTTTCCAGATGATCTATGCAATTTTGATTATGACTGCACTTGACAATTAAAGTCTGCAAAAGGTTTTGAAGATGAAATGCCATATAATCACTTGATAACAATAATGAAGGTAATGACTATTCCTAGTCTCTTCTTTCCTACTTCCCAATTATAGTTCTGCCTCTTCTACCAAATTCCTCACATTACCAAATGAATTCTTACACAAACCCCATGGGTCTCACTTTGCCCCCCACCTTTACCTGAGGAGTTTTGTTCCTAATAGGACCTTCCTTTATTCCAGTTCTTAACTCATTTCTCATTCACTGGGATAAAGGCCACGTTTAATGCTGACCCTGAGAAAGCCCATGGAGCAAATGTAGAATGAAGCTTCAAGGTAACATGAGCAAGACATGGGCTCCTGAGCTCTGCCTCGTCCCAGCTCTGGGCAAACTGCTCATCTCTGGTCAACTCTCAGATTCTTCACCTACCAAATTATTGCAAAGATCCTTTCTAGTTTTAAAACTCTATGTTTTCTCTATTTATGTTTTATTTCCAAGCCAGTCAGACACATTGAAACCAACCTCTATTCTTCAGGTATAGCACAGTTCTCCAGACAATTGCTTCATATGGCCACTCCATTGCTAATATTAAGCCTGCAGGTCCCAAGTGATGGTGGACTTGTGTTTTTCATCAACTCATTCATTTTTGGATCACCTGCTATAAACCAATCTTCATCTACTTTTTCAGTAATATTTCTTCCCTTGGGAAATTTGTTGGTTCCAGGCATCTGTCGACATACTCCCCAAAGACCAGCAAGCAAAAAATTCATTTGCTTTTCCCAACCTCCCCCTACCATCAATATATTATTCTGATTTGACGTTAAAGGTATTTCTGTCTCTTCCACTTATTCCTTATGCTCTCCCTACAAAAATGGGCTACCT